GCAGGCACTGAGGGCATCGCTGCATCCATCCTGGTCCGCCTTCCCCTGCCTTCCAGATCTCCTCCTCTCGTTCCTCCCTGCATGGTTGGTGCCAAACCCAGCCGACCAAGCAGAGTCCCTGGCATGGGAGCACTGTGCCACACGCATGGCCACGCAGAGCCCTCTGCCACTCCGTTATTCCTCAGTGTTACATAAATCCACTTTTATACCCAACCTGTGGACGTCACCGGAGCTCTGTCCATACCCATAACATCATTGTTTCCATGGGAACCAGCGTACTTCCAAGGGGGAAAAAGTAGGAGACTAAAAAAAGGACAAAGAAGGAACAAAATAAGACAAATATGTGACATATCCCTACGATGTGTTGGTGTAGGATGTTGTAAAGGTTTCACCGTGACTTGTTTAGGGAGCATTGCATAACGGTTTTTTTGTCTTGGGTAATGCAGCAAATTGGATCAGGAATGGTGTATCCCAAGCATCCTAGTGTGGCTGTTTGGGAGCCCTGCTGTGGGGACGGCTCTGCTTTGTGGCCTCGTGCTTTACGAGTGGGCAGCAATGGGGCTTTGTGCTGCGGATCTTTCCCAAGTGAGCACCGGCGCTCTCTGCATGCTGCATTTCTCAGGGGCGCTGAGGGATCTCCAAGGGACAGTGCATTTAAATATGTGTGTATCTGGGGGTTGTGTGCATCTGCTGTGCACTTCTTAAGGGCTGCTGGGAGAAGCCTTAAGCCGTGGCGCACAAAGGTGGCTTTGGTGCGCGGTGTGAGCTGTAAGTGTTTGTGTTGATTTGCTGTTCAAGCCAACACTGTGCCCAATGGCTCAATGGTCCTCAGGGCTTCCCAATGGGATTGCACAGCTCCTGTCCACGCAGTCCATGCTGTGGGAGGGCCACCTGTCCCGTGCTGTCACCAGAAGGTGCCAAAACAGCGATGGGAGTGGAGGAGGAGCAAGGTTGGGTGTTTCTGCTTGACTTTCCCATCCTCGCCCATGGGGTAAGGAGGAGGAGCAGGGCTGAATTCACGCTGCGAGGCTCTGGCCAGAGATTTGATTCTATTAATTTGTTTTCTAACAAAACGGTCCCCATATCAGTGCCAGCCCCTGAGCTGCCATCCCCCTGGCAGCTCATGGAGGGGAGATGTAGGGCTGTGCTTAAAAGCTCCGGCTCCCGAAGTTTGGGGATTATGCAAGGCACTCAGCTTGCTGCGCTCTTTTATCTTCATTTTCTCCTCTGTAAGCAGTAAGATTTTAAACCCTTTTGGTTACTGGAGAGAAGCTTGACGTACAAATCTAAAAGGCAAAGGAGGAACAATTCTGAAACAGTGAGGGAAATTAGAGCCTTGTCTTTTTTTTTGTTGTTCTTTTTTTTTTTTTTTTTTTACTTTGACAAAACATCTTTTTCATCAAACTCCATCCCTTCTAACAGCAGCATCCTTCCTCTCCCCACTGCCTGCATGGCTGCACTGCTCATTGCTGCCTGGAGCACAGTGCTTTCCCCAGGTGAGGAGAGGCCCCTGGCCCCACTGCAGCATGGGCTGCACAGCCGAGGGGAACTGAAAGGGCAATTGAGGTGATTCTTCCCCTGTTAAAGCAATCCTGCTTTCCTGCACAGGGGTGGGGATGGTGCTGTGCTGTGTTGGGTGCTGGTGGCACTGGGGGGCACTTTGCAGCTTTTTGGAGTGGAATGGTGTTCAAAAAATGAACCAAAGTGCCACAGAATGTGTGGGGCTGTGCAGGAATCGTAGACCCTCTGAGGTTGAAAGGCACCATTAAGATCCCCTCATCCAACCACGAGTCCATCACCAAAGCACAACCCTATGGCCGCCCCGTGGGACGCGATGCTCAGCCCTCCTCGTGCTGTGGGGCACTTGGAGCAGGGAATGGGTTCTTATTTCCACCCATGGTGCAGATTAATTCTGCGAGCACTTTGAGCGTTCTTTACAAACGGCAAATTAATGTTTTAGGATCTTAGTGCTGCCGCTCGCCTCTCCCCCAAAGGCCGGGCCCTGGAAGTCCCATTATGCTCTTGTCAAAGGCTCTATTTCTGGAATTGATGATGTGAATGAAGCCTCAAACTCCGCTCTCATTAACGTCGGCAGCTTATCCCGGTGTCGCTCCTAAGCTGTTGGGATCGCTGGCACTGCAGGGGAAGGCTGTCACATTTCAACCCAGTTCTCGCATTGCATTTGCACAAAATTTTCCAGGCTTCATCCGTGCTTTCTGCACGTTTGTCCAACAGCCTCCTGTGCCCCATAGGCCATGCAGAGCACGGTGATGCCCGGCGCCATCCCCGAGCTGAGCAGGCGGCTGCCACCCTCCAGCAAGGCCCTTTAATTCATTGCTGCAGAATTTAATCCCAACTTCTGCAACCAAATCACAGCAAACATAATGCAATATCTTCCTCCGTTGATTACATTAAGCAGGAGAGCTCCGGCTAATTGAATCTCGGGCTCTTGCCTCTTAATTACCAAGGGTTGTGCTTGGCCGTGCTGTGCAGGTGCAGCGTGGGGCCGGAGGGCGTTTGCTGGGGGCGAAGGTTCCGTTCCAGCAAGAAATTGACTTCTGGGCATTTACATTCTCATATGCTTTTTGTTGTTCTAAATTCTAAGAGGGAAGTGATGGCAAAAGTGCTGGCTATGTCACTGTGGCAGAAGCAGAGCGCTGCTGCTCGTGGTGGAACGGTGGGGTTCTGGGTGTGTGGTGGTGGGGTGGGTGACCCTGGGGTGGGGGCTCGGGCATCCCGTGGCATGCAGAGGGCTGCAGTGACTGCATCGTGTGTATGGGGTGTGGGTCGTTTCTGAGCACCGCCTGGAGGGGCTGAGGGGCCCAGGAACGTGGTGTGGTGGCCTAGGGATGTGAGGTGGTGGCCCAGAACCATCGCCCGGTGCTGTCGATGCGGAGCTCCCCAGCCCAGGTCCCCGCAGGGCTTTGCCCCCTCACTGCCAGTGCAGCATCCGGCACGGCACCTCTTGCTAATTGAAGTTTGCTTTGTCAGCCCCTGGGCTCGAACAACGGCGGTACAAAGCCGGAGCCATCAGCACTTTGTGCAGCTCTGGAAATCCCATTAGCAGAAGAAAGAGCTTAACATTTCATTCAGCTGGAAAAAAAAAAAAAACAAAACACACACACACAAAAAAAAAACAAAACGAAAAAACCCCCAACCTTCTGATCCCTCAGCTGCACGTTAACACTTGCCCTGTTCTCCCTTCCCTCTCCCATCCTGGGGACATTAAATCAGGAGCTAGTGTTACATTGGGCCGAAATACACTTGCCAGAGGCAGTGACGTTCTGATAAGTGCCTTTGCATCAAAGCTGGGAGAAATAAATGCCGTCAGCAATTAGAGCCCCGGCACGCTCCGCAGGCGGTGTGCCCGGGATGCTTGTTCGGGGCCGGGCTGGGTGGCACAGCGGTGGATGTGGGACTGCCCTGGGCTCACACGCGGGCTGTGGCGGCGCGAGGAGGGCTGAGCTCCCCGCAGGAACGCGGCGTGCCAGAGCTCCATCTGCCCGTCTGGCTCTCCAGGCTCCCGTCCGACCCCGTGGGCTCTGCTGAGCCTCCTCGCTTCCGTGCCGAGCATCTCGCGCAGCCCTTGTCAGACGCTCTCTCATTCTGTCACCAATTTGGGATCTTGCTGTTTGGTGGGTTTTTAATTCCTCCTTTTCTCGAAGGCTGGGCAGAGCTGGGGGTGCTGGCGGATGCGTTTTGAGCTCCCTGAGCCGGGAATGCTGCCTTAGCATCCTGCGAGCCCGTGGCGGTGCCCCTGCAGGGCTATATTTGGGATAAACATCCCGGCCCATCGCCGCAACCTGGCAGTCGGAATTTCTCTTCCAATAGCTTGTAAACATTCCTCCAGATTAAACGACCCAGATTGCCAGCACCCGGCGGTGACTCAGCCCCGTGTGATTGCGCAGGAGTTCGCACGGGGTCATCCTGCGGCCTCACCCCTTGGGCAGTGCGGGCTCCTGTGTGCCGAGGTGCCTCTGCTGCACCCAGCCCTGCCCCAGGGCTGGGAATTCCCTGCTGGCACACCGTGCCGGCTGCCGGGGCTCTGGGGCTGTGCGCCTTCGCTCTGTGCTTCTACATCTTACTGCCCTTGGTGGTCTGGATGGACGCACGCGCTCAGCACACGCTCTGCAGCAATGCAGGTCGCTGTGCCCAGGATAGCAGGGATGCACGCAGCCCATCCCGGCGGCACAGCCCCAGCTGTGCTCCGAGTGCAGGGCTGGGCGCTGCTGGGGCCCTCGCCTGTTAGCTTAATGGCTTTGACAGCCTTAATTTGGGCTGGGAATGAGTGGTTCAATCGCTGACTTCAGGGGAACGCCCCTGGGATAAGCTGTGACATAGTTAATAGAAAATTGTAATGTTGTTAAAGTGCTTTTCTGTAAAATGTCAAGAGAAGAAATTAATGGTGTGGGGTTTTATTTCTTTTTTTATTTTTTCCCCCCGAAAAGTTTATATCATTCTTTTAATTTAATTTTTTAATCCATCATATCAGCAGCGAGCGCTCCTGCCACGCATCTTTGATTTTATAGCGTTTCCACATTTGCAGTAGCCTCTGCTGTCACCGTGGGGAAAATAAGCCATCGGTTGGCATTCGGGATCCCAAATAGCAAAGCAAGGGAACGTGGCTGCAAGCAGCACCCTGCTGGGAAGGCGAGGAGCAGGCATTGGTTCAGCACTGACTGCTCCTGTCTGCGCATTGCAACTTCTGCGCGCCAGGTACCAACGGAAGGCAGGGCAGGAGGGGCAAGGAAACACATCAGAGAAGGGAAGGCGTGCTTAAGTTTGAGTCATTTTATGATAGACGTATGGCACTTAGTGCTTGTGCCGCCAATGGGGGGGTGGTTTTTGGGGTGTCACAGGTGGCACACAGCACCCCGGGACGCTTCGCCCTCTGCCATTCCCTATCTATCACAGTGGGGATAAAACCAGGACTGCGGTGCGGAGTGCCGGGCTGAGGGATGCGGGTGCTCAGTGCTGTGCTTCCTTGACCCCTCACGCAGCTGGTTTGAGCGTGTGAGCATGCTGGTGATCCTGCTCAACTGTGTGACGCTGGGCATGTTCCACCCCTGCGAGGACATCGCCTGCGACTCCCCGCGCTGCCGCATCCTGCAGGTACTGAGCTGCGCCGTGCAAGCGCTGTGCCTGCACTCGGGTTGGTGCCGGCTGCCCCTCATCCCTGCTCTGTATCTTTTGCAGAGCTTTGATGACTTCATCTTTGCCTTCTTCGCCGTGGAGATGATAGTCAAGATGATCGCGCTGGGGATCTTTGGGAAGAAATGCTACCTGGGAGACACGTGGAACCGCCTGGACTTCTTCATTGTCATTGCAGGGTGAGCCGGGCGAGCGCATCCTTTGGAGCCGGAGGGGCAGGGGCTGCAGTGTGGCTGCTACGTGGGGGTGAGTGCCAGGGGATGGGCACAGCAGTTCCCATCCATCCCGGCACCCTGCAGTCGCTCGGTTGGAGGAGCCAACCAAGCCGCAGCTGCAGCGATCTCCATCCCGCTCATGTCCCATGCTCGTGGTTTGGGTTCCGTGCAGTCTGCCCAAGGGAGGCCAGCATTTCGTTTGAAGCACAGAGCTGCCTTCCTGCAAGGTTACTTCAATGAGATGTGCGTGATTGTCCTCCGTGTTGTTTTTGAGGGAGAGCGACCAAGTTTGCCTGTTGGAGCGGTTTCCTTTCTGAGGCACCTGGTTTGAGTTAGGGCTCCTCCAGCAGCCGAGAACCTCCTGGCTGGGGCTGGGAATCCACATGAAAAGTGCCTGGCCCCCAGCCAGGGCGCTGAGCTGCTTTGGCTCTGGAGCTGCCCACCAGCCTTCCTTCCTCCGAGAGCCCAGAGTTACCTTGGGGAAATTGGCATTTTCCCCTTTTGATAGAGCTGTGGATCAAATTGACTGCATTTTCCTGGAAAGGGTCCCCCACCCTGGAACGTTTCCCATCAGAGGGTGTCAGCAGACGTCTGCTTGTGGCCCAGCAGCCCCTCGCTGGGAGCTGGGGACACTGCAGCACGGCCCAGTACCACCAGTACAGAGGTGTGGGGACTCCCAGTGCCTCCCTGGGGACTCACTGCTGCAGGGGCCACGAGATTTCAGTTTCTTCTTTATCTCTTTTTCTGGCCTCCTGCCTGGTCAGCTCTGCCTCTCGCTAAACGATCAGCCTTTGCTTTGTGTGTGTGGACTGTTCCCATCTGGGCCCTGCCAGGAGCAGTTCAGCTGACCGAGGATCGAACGGCTGAAGGCTGCTGCTCCCACTGCTCCGCCCCACCTCCCCCCTCCTCCTGCCCCAGCCGCGCTGCTGCCCTGGGGGCCGTCGCTGTCGGCGCTGTGCCGCGTGCTGGGATAGCTGTGTGAATGGGAAAAGACACCTTGTGGACAGGACCGAGGGGGTCAGGTCCCAGCCAAGTGAAGTCAGGGGAAGCAGTGCTCAGACCGTTCCTTGGGGGAGAACTGGGGAATATTCCAGAGCTGAGCTGTAGAGGAGGGTGTGCACCAGAGTGATGTTCCAGTGCCAGAAACCCTGTAAAGAGAGCGGTGTCCTTACTGCGGTCTTACATGAAGGCTTCAGGCAGTCCTTTGCCCATCAGAGCCTGCCCTAAATCTCCTCCAGCCCCAGGCATCCTGGAAATAAGACGAGGCAAAGCAGCAGACCCACTTCTGCATTGCTTTCTCACCGTGGGCAGAGCTCCTGCAGAGACCCCTGGTGAATGCACCTGGCTTCCAAAAAGAAAGAAAAACTTAAAATGAAAAAGGTGACATTTCATCTTCCTCCTTGAGAGCCCCTGGCCCTGTTGAGGCTGTGGTGCAGAAGCCTTTCCTTGTATGTTGGCCCAGGAGGTGCTGGGTGAGCAGCGCTGGCTGTGCTATGCCACTGAGTGCTGTTCAGCTCTGTTAAACTGCCCAGAGCCATCTCATGAGCTCATGGAGAATAAATGACTTCTTTGTGACAATGTAATGCAATTAGAACTAATTGCAGAGAGTGTGATGTCTGCACCATATCTCTGTAATTACAGGGAAACTTGCTGCAGATGAGCAGAGCGCTGTGTTATCAAAACTCAGCAAAACGTGGTTTTGGCTGTGGGTTATGGGGAAAAGGGGAAAAAATGTGGCACACCACCCTGTTATGTTCTGTTATGGTGAAGGAGAGAGTTTGAGGAGTGTGCATTTGCAAGGAGCACCTGAAGGTCACCAGACTCTGTTTGGTGTCTGCATTTCTGCATTCCTACTTGTTGGGGGCTGTGCTCCATCACCTCTTGGAGCTGTGCTCCATCCATGCCCTGTCAGAGCGGCGTGGCTCTGCCGCAGCTCTGCGCTCCAGCACTGTTTGGTGGAGTGTCTGTTTGTGCTGCACTCGCTGTAATGGGGACAGCCCTCTTAAGGTACTTTCTTCCCAAGTTAAACACTTGAAATGCTTTGCTTGCAGCTGAGAAGAAGCAGGGCTTGGCAGCCTCTTCTGAGCAGACATCTCTTCTTTCTCCCATTGCTGCCCCAATGCTTCTGGTTTGGTCTGCAGTGCTTCCTGCCCGCTCTGCCTCGCATTGCCTGCACTGCAGAGCACAGCACAGACCCCTGCCTGGCCTGGGCTGCGCTGAGCACAGAGGAGCTCTCTCAGGCCGTATGTAAAAGATGTGCTATAGTTAATGCACATCAGGAACAAAACTTACTCTTTTATGTTTGTTTCTAATGAAAACACAAAAGGAGAGAGCGACCAACGCACAGGACGAGTGGGATGTTTGACCTGCTCCTGTGGGAGCAGCGCTGCGGTCTGGTTGGGGGGCAGTGGCTGCTGTTCTCAGTGAGTTCTCAAGGTGCTCAGAGTGGGATTTCAGTTTTCTCTTCCCATGCTTTGTCCCTGAGAGCAGTTGTTCACAGCCTCTTGAACTGCCGAAAAGCGATGACAAGAGAAAGGCGTGATGGTGAAGCAGGGGCTGTTTGTCTGTAGGAGCTCCTGTAGAAGCCTGCTAAGAAGACATGACCAGGTTTTTGCTTTTCCATCCCCACTGTGTTTGCACACCCATCACCCACAGCGCAGCCTCGAGCTGTGCTCTGCCTGCAGCTCTGCAGCTCTGACCTCGGCACTGGCAGGCAGGAGCAGCCTGAGCTGTGGCCATGGCACAGAGCTCAGCTCCATCCTCTGCTGTCTGAAGACAGCCCTCAGCCAGGCTCAAAAAGCAATGCCTGTGCAGGCCAGAAGAAAATGTCCCCGTGGCTTTTTGAAGGTGTGACACCACAAAACATTTCCCTCTGTCTTTTCCATGGGTTAATATTGCCCACCGATCACTGTGCTTTGTAGATAGCGGCGGCTCTCTGCCCGCTCTGGGGATGCTGTGCTGTGTAGCTCAGTGTGTGCAGTGGCTGTCACCCGCTCTTGTCACCTGGCTCCTGTCGCCAGCTGTGTCCCGTCCCAGCTGGGGGGCAGCTCAGAGCCCTCTGCATCTCCTCTAAATGAGAGGAAGCCCAGAGCTGTCCCCGAGCAGGGCAGCAATGAGTTGTCCCTCGTACAACTTGTCTGCCTATCTGTCTGTATGTCCGTCTGTCTGTCCCTGGAGCCTTCCCTCTGGGAGCAGCACAAAGGTTCCACCGGTGCCTTAGAGCATCGCTCAGCACTCCGGGTGTGTCTGGCTGTGCAGATGCTCTCTGTGTTCTTCGGAAGTCCTAAATGCTCTGCTTTCTCTCTGAGACACTCCGGCAGCTGAGGCTCAGCACTTGGTACAGAGCTGTTTCTATTGAGCACCAAGCATTTTTCTGCACCTTGAGTTTCCCTGGGCACTTGTCTGTGTGGAGCTGTGACTGTGCCGTCACATTGGAGCAGAGATGACATTTGGGCTTTCTGCACGGCGGATTTTCCGAGCGGGGATGTGATGTGCTGGTAACTGCACCTGTCACCTCACGGCGCAGTGACATCCCCACGTCCCCTGCCTGGATACTGGGACAGAGTTGGTCCCTCCTGTGCATGGCTGTGCCCTGTGGGCAGGGAATCCTGTGCCATGGGGCTGGGGGAGCTGCGCCTGTCTGGCTGTGCGAAATGCAGGAGGAGAGGTGAGCTGCATCGATGCATGGGATGGGCAAACACCAGCCACAAAGAGCAGCTGTAGCAGCAGCTGAGAAGGCACTGCTGTGTAAGAGCTAACGTGTAGGCTCATCCTGAATACTCTGAGGCTGAAATGAGGCTCTGGACATCAAAACTGGAGGGAGGGAACCACCCAACCATCTTGGAACTGGAACTTGATAATTTTGGGATTGGATGAGTGTCCTGTGACTGCCTGGGCAGCAGGAGCCCATGTGCTGCTGTGTGTTCCTGGCTGCACCTCATTGCAGTGTTCTCTGCACAGCTCCTGGGGGGCTCTGCGGGATCCTGGTGTTGCAGGGATGGGACACGGCTGGCTATGAGCATAGGGATGGTGTGCAGCAGCAGGCAGCCCTGGGCAGAGTCATGCTGTGGTGTCCTGAGCTGTGCACTGCAAAAAAGCAGTCGTCGTAAGCTCTGCAGTGAGTATGCAGAGAGTTTCTGTCCTGGATCCTGTGCAAAAGCAGGCAGAGTGGGAGGGAGAGGAGAACAGTGCACCTGTGTGAGCTGGTGTGGGGCGTCCTCACTCATTGACTTTATCCTGATATGCAGATAACCCTTAATTAATTCCTCTGGCACACTTTCCCGATGGGAGCAAAGCCCTCAGTGAGGAGCAGGCACACGGTGCTGGGGTGATGATGTTTGTGCTGCTCCCTCTGACCACCCCGCTGTGCTTTGCAGGATGTTGGAGTACTCGCTGGACCTGCAGAACGTCAGCTTCTCAGCGGTGCGCACTGTCCGCGTCCTGCGGCCGCTCCGGGCCATTAACAGAGTCCCCAGTAAGTTGGGCTTTGCTCCTCCGGGGATGCAAACTCTTTGTATGTACACCCTGCGGGTGGAAGAACAGACACGGATGCTTCCAACCTTCTGTTGTAGCTGTATCAGCTCCCTGTCCCTCCAACTGGGGATGGTCTGTGATTCTAAATGCTTGCCCTCTAGAAATGGTCTCTTTTCTGTCCTAAGAACGGGGCTGCTGGAGCTGGGGGTGTCCCTGTTCATTGCAGGGAGTGGAACCAGGTGGCTTTAGAGGTCCTCCCAATTCAGACCATCCTATGACTCTATGAACTGAGGTTCCCTGAACTCACCCCGTGCATAGATGAGAGCAGATTGGTGTCACTTCTGTCCCTCCATACTGGAGGTGCCAGCACTCCATTTCTTTCTCTGGCCCTAACTCGTTGCTTAACCCAGATTCTGCTGCTCTTTCAATCAGTGCAGCACCTCCAGACTCCTGATAGCAATGTTTTCTCCCAGCTGCTGCGCTGATGGATGGCTGAATCATCTGCCACTGTCTAACTGGGGATGTAATGCACTTAATGCATTTTCACATCCCAGGCAGTCTGTCTTGGCTTCTGTGCTGCTGCGAAGGGATGGAAGTATAAGGTGGGAGCAGGGGGAAGAGAGTCTTATATGATGATAAATGCAGTAACCACAGAAAGTCGTTTCAGTTAATTAGGAGCTGCGTGTGGTGGTTGCTCCCCAGTAGAGAAGGAGAAGGGAAACGTGATAGAGGAGATGACAGCAGCAGGAAGCGAGGAAAAAGTCTGAAGTATCAAAGCAAAGGGTGCAACAGTGAGACTTTCCTTAAATGAGAATCAATATTAGTGAGTGAGAGAATGCAGAAGATGGGAAAGAAGGAGAGAGATGAGCTGAATATTACAGAGATGTCAGATGAAATCAATTTTTTTGTGTGTAAATGTCAAGTCGGAGTCACCATCAATTTGTCTTTGCTACAGAACTGGCTGTTCCTGAACTTGTGAGAATAAACTGCTCGTGTTTTGAGGAAGAGAGAGGATTTAGCGTGGATGAGGGGAATTAGGAAGGGAATTTTAATATATCCCAAATGTGGAAAGAAATACAGACGAGCAAGGGCATGTCAGAATGGGATCTGGGGAAATTGGCAATTGGTGGAAACTTCCAGAGAACCTGGGGCGGGAGATGAAGGGTAGCAGAGAGAGGGGGAGGTAGGTTGGATGCCCAGGAGTGGGGCTGGGAGGGGTGGGGGCTTCGGTGGGGTTTGGGACCGCAGGGACTGCGGTGGAGAGGGCGAGGAGAGCGGGGGCCATGGGTGGAACAGGGGGGGGATGTCCCTCTTGGATGACCGCTCCCTTCGCCACAGGTATGCGCATCCTGGTGACGCTGCTGCTGGACACGCTGCCCATGCTGGGGAACGTCCTCCTGCTCTGCTTCTTCGTCTTCTTCATCTTCGGCATCGTGGGGGTCCAGCTGTGGGCAGGATTGCTCAGGAATCGCTGCTTCCTCCCTGAGAACTTCAGCATGTGAGTCCGTGGCATCGTCCATCGATAAGCCCATCCCTCTGCGTGATCCCCGCTCCCAAATGCCACCACGTCGCCAGCACAGCTTGCTGTGACAATTTGCCATTTGTGTCCTGCCGAGCTGCCCTTAGCCCTTGGCTGGTGCTGGGGAAGCTGTGTGATTGATAAGAGCCTCCGAAGGACCGCCAGGACAAAGAGCTCAGGCTTTGTAAATGCAGCATATCATTAACTGTGACCTTTTCTGCATTTGTCAAGGCGCTGAGATCTGAACCCTGCTCAGCAGCTGGTGGTGTTTGTTGGTGTGGCATTTGCTGTCTCACCGACACCCTCGGGGAGGCTGATGGAGCTGGTCATACATTTAGCAAAGCTGCTCAGTGTGAGTGCATTGCTCCAAACATGCTCCTCAGAGCTGACCCTATAAACCCCAAATCTCTGCCTTGCACACAGCGGGGCTTGAAGCTGGCATGGGGCACCTCTTATCCTCTCTGTGCATCCCCAAAATGAGCAGCAGCCCTCTTGCAGGCTGTGCCCTATCAGGACAGCCAAGAGAGTCATGTCCTGCAAAGCAAACAGCAGCAAATCTGAGTGGCTCTGCTCTTTGAATAACTACAACTAAGTGATGGGTTTGGGTGCTGGTTAATTGAGCCAGAATTCCAGGGGTTTAGATGAGCTTTGAACAGCATTAAAGGCAATTCTGCAGGAATTAACGGGGCTGAACCAGGCTTCAAAGTGTCTTTGCAAGCTTTAGTGGGAGTCCTGGTGGCATTAAGGAGATGGATCCTTGCTCGGCAGGCAGCGAGCTTTGGGCCAGCTGTGGGTTATTCTATATCCCTAAAGGGTTTTTGCCATGCTTGCTATGGTGAGGCCACCCTTGGAGGGAATTTACAGCTTACCTATGGCTGAACAGGCACTGGGAAGGCACTGCTTTAGGAACCTGGGAGGTCCTTGCATGTGGATGTCCTCACGCTGTGCTCAGCATCTCCAGGAGGATGGGAGATACAGGAGCTTACGGTGACTGATTCCCATGTTAATGCAGCAGGGATGTTTCAGAGCAGCCCTGCCGGGCTAAGCCCTGCTCTCAGTGCCCCCAGTCACAGCATAGCACTTCCAGATGTAAGGAATCTCCACAACACCAGCCCTTCAAAATGCAGAATAAAAGACGTTGGAATGTACAGCTGCTACCGCTGTCACCATGCCAGGCTGCCTGCACCCGCTGTACACACCTCAGCCCTTCTGTCCACTTGCAGCCCCTACACAGTGGATCTGGAGCGGTACTACCAGACCGAGAATGAGGATGAGAACCCCTTCATCTGCTCCCAACCCCGCGAGAATGGGATGCGCTACTGCCGGAGCATCCCGACGCGCAGGGAGGAGGGCCTGGAGTGCACCCTGGATTACTACGCCTACAACGACACCACCAACACGTCCTGTGTCAACTGGAACCAGTATTACACCAACTGCTCTGCCGGGGAGCACAACCCCTTCAAGGGCGCTATCAACTTTGATAACATCGGCTATGCCTGGATTGCAATATTTCAGGTGAGCTGGCATGGAAACCGTCCTGTGGGGCAGGGGTTGTTCCTCCCCACGTGTTATGGGGCTGTGTGACCACACTGCTGAGGCTGTACATGTAAAGTAGTAGTGTAAATGTGCTGGAAATGGCAGGGAGACGGCGTGGTGCTTGCTCAGATGCCTCCGTGGATAAAAGCTTGGTCCTAGAGCTGTGGGTGCAGGAGGACTGTGCTCTTCTTTCTGCACTGTGCTGTAGTTGTCTTTAAGTCCATCTGGAAAAGAAGGGCTGAACGCAGCCCTTGCAACACGGGATTGGTCTGAATGGGAGATGTTTTTGGTTCCTTGGTGTCTGGCACTGCTCTGGGACCAGCTATGGGTCCAGCAGTGCCATTGCCTGCTCCCTTGGGGTTGTGATCAGCTGTGATGGGTTTGTCTTCCCCCTCTGCCTCACCAGGTCATCACACTGGAGGGCTGGGTGGACATCATGTACTTCGTCATGGATGCACACTCCTTCTACAACTTCATCTACTTCATCCTGCTGATCATCGTGAGTGGCCTCGTGGGGACGTGCAGTTGTGGAGTGGCCCAGAGGGGCAGGCAGAGAGCACAGTGAATGTAAAGGCTGCTCTCACGTGGGAGAGGTAGAAAACATGAAGGAAAGATGGTCTTAAACTGTGGTAGATACACTTGCTGTTGCTTCTAACACCTCTCTCTTTGTCCTCCACGCTCCCAACCCCATAGTTGCCTCCTTGAATTTAAGTTTAAAATAGGCAAATTCCCCCCATCCTGTTTTCAGATCTGGAAGGGGGGAGGTTGGTCAGGAGCTCCCCCATATCCAAGAAGCCCAACAGGCGCAGAAGGGACATTTAGGAGAGGCAGCCCCAAACATCAGAGCACAGGCTGAGAAAGGAGGAAAGGATTCTGCCCACAGTGCACCCACAGCACAGTGTCACTGCACCCATTCACAGCAGAGCCTGCAAAGAGCTCTGAGGGGTGGGCTCTGTGATGGGCTGCGAACAGCAATGTCTGCTGTGATGGGGAGCTCGTTGTCTAGACTCCCTTCAGCATCAGGAGAGAAAAATAGGTGCTTTAGGAGGTGATTCATCTGCTCCTAAGGTAGACATTCAAAATAAATTAGATGCATTGCAGACTTGATGCGCCTATTTCTCTCCCAACTCTAAAGGATCATTAGGTGCCTCACTCAGATGTGTTGAGTGAAGCTGAGATAAGTGAGATGAGTCCCTCCCTTCCTGTCTAATTGGCCCAAATCCAGCAAAATAGCTGAACCTCCACTGAGCCATTGGAGGGGTTTCTGATCCTCATCAGACCCTGATGAGAAGGCTGTTTTGTCTACAGCGCTTTTTGTGGTTCATCTGTTAGCTTCACCCCAAAATGAAGGAGTCCCTCACTCTCTGCATTCCCATAAGGACGGAGAGGAAGGGAAGCATTGCTTTCCTGGGTGCTGAGCAGTAATGGTGGTGGTGTGTGAGAGCCCATTAGTACATCAGAAATGCTTTGCGGTCCAGGCTGGCATCTGCAGAAAGCAGGACCTGGTGGGAGCCAGCCTGGAACTGGGATCTCCGAGCTGTGGATGCAGCCTGCTGAAGCCCCTTGCATAACAGTAACCTGCAAATCCCGTTAGCAGGGGAAAGGGATCTGCTCACAAGCTACCCACACGCTGCCAGAAAAAACGCTCCTATCAGGAAGGCTCAGCACATTCATCGTAATGCCACTAATTGCAATAATTACAACTGCCGTCTGCGGAGAGAGAAAAACACCCTCTTAAAAGAGCAAAAGCTTTTTGTCAAAATAATCTCCTCCTGCCTTTGATCTCTGACGTCTTCCACGGAGTCCTGGCGTGAGAGTCCTGGGGGTCGGGGCCCTTACTGGGGTCCGTGTTCCTGGTGACGTGGGACCAGGCAGGGCTGCGGGGTGGGAATGGCCGGGGCTGATGGCTCCCATCCCCGTAGGTGGGCTCCTTCTTCATGATCAACCTCTGCCTGGTGGTGATAGCCACACAGTTCTCCGAGACGAAGCAGCGCGAGAGCCAGCTGATGAAGGAGCAGCGGGTGCGCTACCTGTCCAACGCCAGCACACTGGCCAGCTTCTCGGAGCCGGGCAGCTGCTACGACGAGCTCCTCAAGTACCTGGTGTACATCGCCCGGAAGGGCAGCAAGCAGCTGGTGGAGCTCTACCGGGTGGCGGGTGTGAGGATGGGCTTCCTGGCCAGCCCTGCCAGCAAAACGGGGGCTGAGCGGCACGCTGGCAAGCGTCGCTCCAGGAGGAGGAGGTCCTCGGTGCACCACCTCATCCACCACCACCACCACCACCACCACCACTACCACCTGGGCAATGGCAACCTGCGGGCGCCCCACGCCAGCCCGGAGATCAGCGACGTGGACACCGGCTCTCTCCACAACGGGACCAACCGGCTGATGCTTCCCCCATCGGCCCCAAACCCCCACGTGGCTCCCACCGCCACGGCCAGCGGCACTGAATCCGTCCATAGCATCTACCACGCCGACTGCCACGTGGAGCCGGTGCGCTGCCGGGCAGCCCTCCCACAGCCGAGCCCAGAGGACGTCCCCAGGAGCGCGGTGATGGGCAGCAAGGTGTACCCCACGGTGCACCCCAGCACCTCCCATGAGGTGCGGAAGGAGAAGAGCCTGGGGGAGGCGGCAGCGGGGGCTGGCAGCAGCACGCTGAGTGGGCTGAACATCCCGCCTGGGCCCTACAGCACCATGCACAAGCTGCTGGAGACGCAGAGCACGGGTGAGTGCGGGGCTGGGGTCAGCACGGGGCCGTGGAGCAGAAATGGGAGCTCCCTCCTCATTCTTTTCTCTTTCCATTATACCTTTCCAGGGTTCCTTTCAGTCCACGTTACAGATAAAGGGGATGGATTTCGAGGTGAGGCCAATGGGAATCTTCCAACCAACCCAATGCATCTCAGCCCAAACCAGGAGGGAGGTTTCAACCAATCCAAGGGAAATGATTGTTTGTAATGAACCCATTCTCTTTCTCTTCCCAATCTCCTCCCAGTATGCTGTTTTTCCTGTGATCAGAGGGGTCTGCTCCCCACATCCCTGTGTTCCCCACATCCTTTCACTCCCCAGCTCAGAAAGACTGAAGTGGCATCAGGAACGAAGTGCAGCTTTCCCAAAGCCGGGGTTTGACACCTTTCCTGCAAGGTGCTCATTCCCCTTCCACATCTTGAGCTTTCTGAGCATGAGCCAAATGAGCTCAAATGCATTTAGCCTCCAAGAAGTGTTTCCAGGCCAGGCTTTCTCAGGCAGCCAATGCCATCCCCAGCCACCGCTGTGACCTTGAGCACTGCAGGATTTGGCCTTTCCAGGCAGGATGTGTACAGGGAAAGCCACATCTCATCATCCCAGAGCCCATCCTCAGATCTGGGCTCTGAGCTGCTACAGCTCTGTGTTTGCGTTGGTGCTGCTGCATGGATTTCTGCAGCTGGTGCTGGGGAGAAAATCCCACTGCTGCCGTCATCCCAGGAGCCACCTGGCAGCTGGGAGCGGGGGGAAGCTGGGAATTTTGGAGCATCTGCAACCAGTGGGAGCAGGAAGGGAGTTCTGCTGGTGGCGAAGCTCCTGCTAATTGTAGCACCGGGTGCCAGGGCTGTGGGAGATGATTGCTTTCTGCAGCCTCTCATGGCCCGTTGTATTGAGCACAACATTTTGCTGTCACTGTGCATAGGGAATTGCTCCTGTCCTGGCTAATGGGCTGCCCTCTCCTAAACGTTGGCATTGCAGGTCCCTGCCCAAGCTCCTGCAAGATTGCCAGCCCCTGCACCAAGCTGGACGGCAGCTCCCGCAGCCCCGAGAGCTGCCCCTACTGCCTGAAGGCATTGGCCAACGAGGCCGAGCAGACAGACAACGAGACAGACTCGGACAGCGAGGGTGTGTACGAGTTCACACAGGATGCCCACTACAGCGACCAGCGGGACCCACAGCGCGGCCGAGCCTGGGCCAGGAGCAGCAGCCGGGTGCTGGCCTTCTGGCGTGTGGTGTGCGAGACCTTCCGGAAAATCGTGGACAGCAAATATTTCGGCCGTGGAATCATGGTGGCCATCCTCATCAACACGCTCAGCATGGGCATCGAGTACCACGAGCAGGTGAGCTGGCTGCCCTCTCCCCATCCTGCATCCTTCATCCCACGTCCCAGGGATGCTTGGCTCCGTGCTGGCACCGCAGCCACGCAGCAGCTGGGGTCAGTGCAGCCGTGGACAGAAGGTCTATTGAATCCTGGGGGAGGAAGTGACAAATGCCTTCAGCTCCCTGGTGAGCGCTCCAGCAGCAGTGTGATGAATCCAAAATAGACTCATCGCAGGCTGTTCCTCCACTCTATTAGCGCAGTCCTTGCAGGCAAGAGGCGGCTGCGCTTCTGCCGAGCTTTTCCCTGTATGTTGTCATTAAGGAAAGAGGTTGCCACTCTGGAGTGTCTCCATAGGGATGACAAGCTCTGCTCCCAGAAGGCGCCATCTGGTCCCTTTTGTGGCTGCATGCATGGATGCTTTGCTCCCCTACCCTGAGCCCCACGGACGCTGCATGGGCTGGGCTGGTTCCTGCAGGTGTGTGCTTTGTGCTGGGGAAGCCACGACCCTGGGTGCTGTGATGCTGCACAGCCCTGCTGCACACATGCTGGTGCTCGGCCCCAGCAGCTGCTTGGAGTGCTGGGGCTGTCCCTGCCACAGCCATCCCTGTTCCATGCCAGCCCCTTCTGGGAACCCCCTGCGTCTCGAGTCACCGTTGTTTATTCCCCCTTCTGGCACATTCTGCACTTGCTGCATGTGGAGACGTCCCCTCCCTGCCCACAGTGCTGGCGGTGGTGGCTGCAGAGTGGCTCCAAATCCTGTGTCCTCCTATGGCATTAATGCCTCAGTGCCTGAACACCAGGGAGACTCGGATGTGCTAAATGTGTCCCTTCAAACCAGCGCCTTCCCCGTGACGTCCTAATGCAGTCTGGCTGGCTAACCTTTGTTTTCAGCATGCATTAGCAGCTGTGCTCCTGTAGTCCCACAGGTAGGGAGCCACTCATCACAGGGATGCTCACAGAGCTGCAGGGGAACCTTCCATGAGTCCATGTTTGTTTAGTAATGAAGCTCATCTCCTGGGAACCTGCAGGGAGACAGCGTACAGAAACTGATAGCAGTTTGTATTTCTCCTCTGAGTGCATGGAAAGTGACAGCAGGTCTGCTGTACTGGGATTGTCCAGCGGTGGGAGGCCAAGGCTGGTCACCCATTCAGCATTTCAGGAGGTGCTGCTGCAGGCTACTGCTGTGCTCATGGGAACCGTCCTGCTGGGATGGATGGATGGTTGGATGGGATGGATGGGTGGGTAGGTAGATAGGTGGATGGATGAGTGCTTGGAGGGATGGATGGATGGAGTGGTTAGGCTCCTGGCTTGTTGCCTCAAGGGCAACAATGCATGTCCTTAATTCTTTGTCTTGGAGAAAATCCTGGCCTTTGTCCCACCAGCAGTGTGCCCTGGCAGGCAGGTAGATGGCAAAAAGCAGATTTTTGTGGTGGTTCTCTGGTAACAAGGTGAAGGAAGCGGATGTGCGTGGGGGACACCAGATCCTGTGGGCGGTTGCTTTCTCTGACAGTATTTTGAAGCTACTACTGTTCCAGATTCCTTTCTCCCAGGCACTCAGAGTGCATAGCTGAGCCTGTTTTTATTAGTTCATCTGCTTAGAGTGGCGGCAGAGAACAGAGAGGTGTTTTTCTGTTAACTTGAGAAGCTTATAGTCTGCAGTTTCATAATCTGACAGTTATGAGAGCAGGAATTGGAGTGGAGAAATGCTGGGCCAGGCCTTTCTGCAGGGATGATAAACACTGAAACATGAGATTTTTCTTTTATAAGAGACCTTCCTAAACGTGCAGGTATCAGCCTCACCAAATTTATCTTCATTGGGTGATCGTTTGCAGAGAGGTGATGGAGCTCAAAGGCTACTTGACTCCATGAATTTCTATATTAATCTCTCTGCTTATTTAATGAATATTTACCTTTTCTGTTTTGTTTTGTTTGTTTTCTACGCAAGGCAGCCCTGGGCACACCAAGCTATATCAGGATAAATTCTTTCAGGACATTTCTCACCAGCACAGTGCTTGGAGGAGAGAGGATACTCCAGCAGCTGTGTGCTGCGGGAGGGGTGGGATGGGCTGGGACAGACTGGTTCTGTGGGATCCCAGCAGTGTTGGGTAGGATCCAGCAGTTCTGGGACTGGCAGAGCATCCTGGTGCTGGTCGGCTGAGGTCCCCACCACAGCCAGGGGGAGAAGTGAGCTCCTCTGGAGGCTTTGCATCCCGCCTTCACATCCAGAAGGGCCCTGGAAGGCTGGGACAGCCCTCGCAGCCACTTGTGTAGCTGACACCACCCAAAGACAGTCAGCTGGGATATTTAGGAAAACGGCGGCAGCCTGAAAGCATACTGAAATTGATAGGAACCAGGGGGTGCTGAGAACACTGCTTCCACCTGCTCCTGCTGTTTGCTCGTGTTCTTCCATCAGTCATCCGGGCCAAGATGAGCACCCTGGTCCTCATCCCAGGGCTTCACCCCCCCCCTCCTCAGAACCTCCGATCCCAAACCTCGCCTCTACAGATCACCACCTACAATAACATCATTGCAGCGGCCATTTCCCCAGGGGCTGGGTTTCCTCCAAGCTCCTTCAGGCACCGCTGGGCAGCACCCTGGCTGACTGCATCACCCGGCATGGGGCCGCTTCCACGTGGCTCTGGTGTGCGTGTGAGCACGGGGTGCAGCTGGCAGGGCGCAGCCATGTGCTGTGGGCAGGCTGTGCAGCCCCCCGTGCCGCCGGCTGTGCCTCTGCCATGGGAGGAAGGCAGAGGTCCGAGCAGAGGCAGCGCTCAGCGCGTCGCTGCTGCTGGGCAGCGGTGTGAAATTTTCCATCAGGGAAACGACAAGCAGATCGCTGCGGATTATTGATGTGACTGCTAAAGAGCTTGTTTTTCTACGGAGCTGAAGCGAAATGCAGGTAGAAACTGTTAGCTTTGGGTAGGGAAGTAGAAAGGTGATTTCAGGGTAGGCTCTGGGGGATTTTAAGTACGCTGCTGAACCAATCGACTGATTCGCCTTAGGGAAGCCGAGTCTCCGCAGCGATGCCGGGGCTTTGCAAAAGCTTGTTCTGCCATTGCGCGGGAGCAAAATGTGCTGCTCAACCAGAGGGCTCCTGGGCTGCACTGCTCTTGGCCCTGGCGGCGAGCCAGGCTGCACTCCACAATGCGCTGCTTTCCTTTCTTTCAAGCCCTTCCTTGGAGTGAAATGCAGAGGCTTAGCGCGAGGCGTGATGCTGAACTTCTCAGCAGGGGAAAGAATTCGGTGAGAGCTTCCTGAAGGAAGGGCTCGGGGTTTTGTTTTTGTTTTTAAAATCTGGTTTGCATTGAGCTGCCTGGCTGTTCCGATTTTCCTTGTCTGAACTCGCTCGGTATGAACTATTCCCCACATCTCCGTTTGTTTGAATAGCACTTGAATTTCAGCCGCTGTCTCTGCGGCGTTTCACCATTGTAATGAGAAGGAGCCGTGGTGCCACCCCGAGGGTCCTTGCCGGCCGCTCCAAAGCCGCAGAGGCCACAGCGTGGGGGTTTGGATCTCGGCAGAACCAAACCTGTGGGCTGTGGGAAGGAAGAGGAAATCATTCAGACCTCTGCAGACACTTTTTTTTTTTCCTCCAATGTTTGAAAGCAAATTGGAGGGGTGACGAGGGGGAATGGCTTTTTGGGACAGCATCCAGGGAGAGCAGCTCGTGGCAGCGGGACGCCGTTCTCAGAGGGAGGAGGAAGGGGCCCTGCTGAGGCTTTGAGCTCAGAGCAGCATCTAAAGCTGAAGCCCTGCTGTGTCCTGCTGCAGGTGCCGGGTGTGTGATGGTGCAGCCAATGCAGTCTTGTGAGTGGTACCGTTCCCACCTGGGTTGGGGTTCAGAAGCACTTTGATCCCAGGAGGGCAGCTGCTGGGTTGTTGGTCAGGGAGGTGGTGGCGTCAGCATCCCTGGAGGTGTTTCAAAACAGTAGATATCTCACTGAGAGATGTGGCTCAGTGGTACGGTGGTGATGGGCTGATGGCTGGACCGGATGATCTTAATGGCCTTTTCCAACCTTTAAGATTCTATGATTCTATGTGGAGCTGCTACTTGGCCATCCCTGTGTGCCAAAATGGGGTCTTTCCAAGTGCTCCTCTGCTTGCAGAAGAGGTGGTGGAGGATCACATGAGCTGCAGCCTGTGGGGTTCCCACTGCTCGGGTCACCCTGGACTGGAGGTGAGGTGGCACTTGGGTTGTGTCCCATTGGTGCAGGGATTCAGAGACCAGTCCTGTCCCCAGGCAGCATCCATCCTGGTGGGCAGTGCCAGCTCTGCACCACATCAGTGCCAGGCAGTTCTGGGCTCCCTTAACCCTGTGTCAGCAGCCTATCCTGACCTTTTCACTATGAAGCTTGCAGTTTGATGATTCCCCCTGAATTAAATCTGATTTGTTAGGTTTTGATCCAGGAAGACACTTATGCATGGGCGTGTGTCCCTCTGTACCAGGGAGATTCCCTTCTCTGGACACTGCATGCTCTTCCCAGGAGCCCGTGAAGTCCCGCATTCATGCATGTCTTTGCTTCCTAGAGACAGCTCTGCTTCCACTTTGGTGCATGTCCCATGTCTCTATTTAACTCCGTGACACATCTCCCAGCCCCGTGCCAGCTCATCCCAGCCAAGCTCCAAGCTCTGGCAGCGGCTGCGGCTTCCCCTCCCTCAGAAGCTGCTGGCTCGAAGCAGGCGACATCCCGATTTCCCAGCACTGCAGCTGCGCGGGGCACTCAGCCTGCAGGAAAACAAGGTGCCCTATAGATTTGCACGTGTTGCATTCAATTAGCTCTTGCTTCAGCAGAAATTACTCTTATTAACGGTTTGTTGTTGGAGACCAGGGGAGTCAAATCGATGCTAATGGAAGGCATTGGAGCTGTTAATCACTGGGATGGCTGCCTTCAGAACCAGCTGGCTGACTGTCACTGGGGGTAATTCCTTCTCTGGACCTCAGGGGTTCTCCCAATCCTCAGCAACATGAGGGGTTTACGAGGTCTCCTAGGAACCCTTGTCTGTTAATGGACTTGCTCC